TATTAAGAAAAAAAAATAGCAAACAAGCTTTGGAAATAATTAGAAACACTTCGAAAAATCTAAATAAAAAAACTAACTACACTACACAATACAAAAATCAACTAAAATATTTACAATAATATCAACTGTCAAAATGGCGTCGATAAAGCAACGCCTTTTTGATCCTTTATTATTTGATAGACTGATCAAGATCTATCGTATTACAGAGCGTTCTATGCAAAAGACGCTGTAGTTTTTGAGTTATAAGAAAGTGACCATATTAACCGCATGACCATATTACCCTCGCGTACTATAGTTAGTTTTTTTTAAGTTGATTTTTCGAAGTGTTGCTAATTATTGCCAAGGCTTGTTTGTTATTTTTTTTTTCTATATTAGTTATAGTATACGACATTGTGTATTTGTCTCTGTCCTCCTCCTAGTTTTGGTTTTATAAGCCGGCAAAGCTTACCCTATTACCACCATATTACCCTCACGTACCTTAGTGTTTATTTGTAATATCGAACTAATTGACTCCCATTGAGTTCAGGGGAATATTTGCATGCTATTTAGACGTGTGATTTCTACTTGGTAGAGCCAAGCTGCAGCTATATTTATAATATAGTTGTAGCACGAATGGGTCGGCTCGACCGGGGAAGGTTTGATGCTGCTGTGTTTCTTATGGTGAGTGTAGAGAACCAGAGACCCTTTTTACTGGAAAAGAGGCAACCCATCTTAGTCCTCAAGGCTGACAACGCATCTGCATTTTGGTTCGCAAACGAGGATAGATGTAGATGTCTATGGGCTACAGCAACCAATTACCATCAGGTGGACTGTGTGCTCGTTTGTCACTCTATTTATATTTAAAAAAAAACATAAACAACCATTTTTATTAATTTTGTTTGTCGGTCTGTCTGTCCGGGCTAATTTTTGGAATAGCTGAACCGATTGTGATGAAGCTTTACGCACAGATAGAGATCAATTTCAGGAAGGATCTAAGATAAATTTTATTCGAAAATCTATTTAAGAAAGTTATTGTTTGATTAGAATAGAAACAGAAACAGAAACAGAAACTTTTTTATTCAATATAGATTATAAATAATACTTATTGAAAGTCACTCTTTTGTTTAATTACCACTGGTTCGAAAAAAATACCACTGTCCTGGGAAGCACCAGCAAGAAACCCAGCGGGAGGGTTTTTTTTTTAAATAACAGCTTACAATCATGTATGTTACACAAATTAACAACACAACAAATTAGAAATAGCTTGGTAGCGGTCACCTCATTTCCAGAGGTTATTATCATCCATAAATTCTTTAATATTATAATAAGCCTTTTAGAATAAATTTATTTGCAACTATACAATTTGGCATGAGGTGGTGTTATATTTATTCCAGTGTACTATAGCGTATAGAGTTTGCCAGCAGACAATGCATTTTAAACAATCATGGAATAAATAAGTGAATTATTAATTATTTATTCTTCTTCATCTTCTTCTGGTGCCTCTCCAACTAGCGAGGTATAACAACTGCGAGGCGAAACAGTTCGACGGCACTCGCAATTCCTGTCCACTCTCGGATGTCACATACCCATGACATTTTTCTGCAACCCACGCATCTTTTCCGGCAACATTTCCCATCACAATGAGTTTTAGGAGTCCGTACCTCTCGTGCCTGAGTACGTGCCTTAAATATGCGACTTTTCTCATTTTGACGGTCTGCATAGATTCACGTTTTTGGTCGACTCGTCGCAGAACTTCCACATTCGTTATTCTGTGAGTCCAGCTAATGACCAACATTCGTCTGTATGCCGAATAAAATTATTAAATAATTTTATTTACGCGAACACCACACATTTAAATAAAACTAGTTTTACGCGATAAAATTCGTAAAACTAGTTTTATTTTCATAATTTTATTTCTGATGATATCCCACCCTTTTAGAAATGAATCGTCACATATGCCCAACAGCTCACTTATAAGCAATACTTTACTTTTAAGGGTATTAGTTTGCGATAATTTCCAATGAACGTCTATCAAGCTCACCATAGTTGCGGGAAAACCTGCTATTCCAATGGCAATGGGTCTTTGGATTCATCTTAAATTAATGTTATTATGGATGGACGCGAGATCAATGAAAGCCGACATTTTGTTAACGTGGATTTTACTTTATTTATTTTATTTATTTATTTCAGCATTACATAACTCATATTATGAGATAAATTTTAAATATTACAACTGCAAATTTTAAATTTTAAATTATTTTATACGTGGTAGAGCCATGCTGCAGCTATATTATGGTTGTAGCACGAATGGGTCGGCACGACCAGGGAAGGACCACGCTCTCACAGAATACCAGCGTAAAATAGCAGCTTAACGCTGCTGTGTTTCGTATGGTGAGTGTAGAGAACGGAGACCCTTTTTACTGGAAATGAGGCATTCCATCTTAGTCCTCACGGGTGACAACGCATCTGCATTTTGATTCGTAATCGAAGATAGATGTAGATGTCTATGGGCCGCAGCAACCACTTACCATCAGGTGGACTGTGTGCTCGTTTGTCACCCTTATCCTATAAAAAAAAACTGCGCTGATCTGAGATGATATAATATTAGAACCTCTGACCTCTAAACTAGGCAGAGCCTGTATATATAAAAGATATAAAATTAAGTATAGTTATAACCTATGTACAAGTACATATTATGTACCACTGCGACTAGGGCCTCGTGGTGCAGATGAAATAATTGCGACGGCGGGTCGAAGATGGCTAACCTACAGCTACAGATAGAGAAAATTGGAACACCTTGGACCTCCTCCATCCTTTTACCCGAAGGAAGTCCATACAAATTATTTAATCAATTTAATATTATTTTGCATGTATGTAACAATTCGTAATATTATATACCTAATTATACTCGTAATTGTTTCATAGATTGATATTGTTGTTATTTCCTTAATTAATTTTTATGTCTGATGATTATTATCATCATCATCATCATCATTACTGCTCTACACTAGTCCACTGCTGAACATAGGCCTCCCCCAAGAAATGTCACTGGGCCACCTGCATCCATCGGACTTACTAGGTCGTCACTCCATCTAGTGAGGGAACGTCCTACACTTGCCTACACTTCGTCCACCGGTACGAGGCCGCCACTCGAGAACCTTTTTTCCCCATCGGTTGTCGGTTCTTCGAGCTATATAGCCGGCCCACTGCCACTTCAGCTTACTAATATTATATTTATATAATTATTATTATATTTTTTATTAATTTTCGTTATTCTTTATAATTTGTATGGAATTAAATTATTATTTCTATATTAAGTTATTATGTAAATGTTTTAGGATTTTACGGCAAAACACACACAAACACTCACGCCTGTCACCCAGAGGGGTAGGCAGAGACTATGGACTTCCATTTGACGCGATCCTGGCACACCTCTCTCGCCTCCTTTACATTCATATATCTACGCATACACGCTTGTCGGTTAAGGGTACTCCTAATCTGGCCCATTTTCAATGTATCGCCGATTTGGTCGATAAAGCTTCGTCTAGGGCATCCCTTCCCGATCCTGCCGTGCACTTCTGCTACATAAATTTGTTTTGTCACTCTTTCATCGTTCATTATTTCTAGATGACCACACCACCGAAGCATTCCTTTCTTAATCCTTGTCACAACGTCATCTTGCAAGCCACACTTTTCTCTTATCACACTATTTCTCACCCTGTCGTTCAGATTCAGCCCTAGCATACTCCTTAATGACCGCATTTCTACAGCATTTATTCTACTCTCATGCTTCTTCTGCCAGACCCAACCTTCACTACCATATATTAAAGTAGGGACTAACACAGTATTATGAATGGCCATACGTGCCTTATTTGACACATTCTGACTCCTCATAATAACGCGTAGAGCCACATTCCCTCTATTTCCTGCGTTCACTCGTCGGTCTATATCCTTATCATATTTACCATCCCTGCTAAATGAACATCCCAAATATACAAATTCATCCACTTGCTCTATCTTTTAAAATTATTTTGAAATTGCTAACTTCAAATTTTGTAACCCATTTCGTCTTCCGTGTCCTTTTAAATAATGAGATCTAAAAGAAATTACTTTTAATAAAAAGTTTAAGCTAACTTCGAAGACCGTCGACGACCGGTGCTGAGACGTAATGTATAGAAGTTTAAATAAAACTAGTTTTTAAGCATTTTATCGCGTATATTAACTTATTTTATATTTCTCACGTTTGGAGCACTTTACAGCACCTATGGGTGCTGTAAATGTGTGTAGTGTACCGTAAACGCATGAAAAATATGAATCATTAAAACCGTTTTTAATTGACGAATATTTTTTTATAGGATAGGTTGACAAACGAGCACACAGTCCACCTGATGCTAAGTGGTTGCTGCGGCCCATAGACATCTACATTTATCCTCGTTTGCGAATCAAAATGCAGTGCGTTGTCACCTGTGAGGACTAAGATAAAATGCCTCTTTTCCAATAAAAAGGGTCTCCGGTTCTCTACACTTACCATACGAGACACAGCAGTGTTAAGCCGCTATTTTACGCTGGTATTCTGTGAGAGCGTGGTCCTTCCCCGGTCGAGCCGACCCATTCGTGCTACAATTATACTACTAATATAGCTGCAGCATGGGCCTACCACGTATATCGCGTAGCACACATACAAAAAACCATACAGTCGAATTAGTTTTTTTTTAAATTTCATTTGAATTAATTGTAAGCCATTTTTAAGTCTGCTAAAAATTTAGGAAAATCAGAAAAAAATAGATCTTATTTTATATACTTCGAATTAAAATTCTAATATCTAATCACTGCAGCATTTACTAAATTTAAAGAATAATATTAGTATGAAAGAATCTGCACAGTAAAACTGCACAATATTTTTAAAAGACATTAAAAAGAAAAAATGTTGCCATATTTCTTTACATTTGATATCATATAAATTACATATTATATGCATTTTTTTACATAATCAAAAACTGTTGTCTAAAATAAATACTTACCTCTTTGACTATAAGCATCACTAATGTCCGAAAATTGTGCCACTATTATAAAACATATAGCACTAAATATAATAACACTAGATTGATTAACCGCCATTTTTATAACACAGCACTTAATAGTCATAACATTTTTTATTAATATCACGATAAAACTCTATTGATACATTTTAATATATTAGTATTGAATTGCACAATAACTCTTTTTTTTAATAAAGGGTAAAAGTGGCTGAATGACAGTATGTCAATTCAGAATCTTATCTTTTTAATTTATTTTTCGCGGCAAAAAATTCGGAGGCGCCAAAACGTCCACTAGCGACAGTAGCCGAATTAGAAATGATAGGTAAAAAGGCGCTCGCGCGACTTTGTTGTTAATATTGCTTTGCTATAGAAGAGATTTTACTTTTTTCCGCAGTAGTCCCGCGCTTGTCAATCGCTCCCCACTGGGGAAATGTTACAATCGGATACTGAGGAATTGCAAACATTTTGTCTCGGGCATAAATTGCAACCTTTGTATGCGCATTAGTATTATCCAAAGCAAAATTGTTAATATATAAATATACAAAAGTATACAAATAGTAAATAAGTATAAGAAAATAAACGCGTATATTATGAGGATGTAATAAGTTTGCAGGAATCAAAGAATCTATACCTATTTATGAAATATTTTTTGCATCGAAAAGGCTTATTTTACAAGACACACTAGTGAAACTTGTAAAGCCTATATCTAGTTGAAATAGGACAGTGTAATATTTAATTTTGGATTTAAATATACAAGAAAGCTATACAGATAGGACTGTGACCTACGTGTCTTATTCGATATTCGCCAAGAGGACAAGAAAAATAAACATAAAGATCAAAATAACCAAATAAAAACCAATGACAATGCACTTTTAGAGACATCTGTCGTTGTTGGATCTTGGAAATGTTGATTAAATGCAGATTCAGTGTCCTAGTTATACAATACTTGATAATTTTTCTCTCATTACTTGACTCACACGCACATGTGTGTATATGTACATACACACACATTAAACACACACACACACACACACACACACACGCACACACACACTTGCGCACGCTAACGCTAAATAATTAAATGTTGCTGTAAATTTATCTTCCACTTTATGTGTTTGTATTATGTACCTTAAAATGTATATATGAATACAAAGTTATTTTTAAACATTGAGAGAGAGAGGAGGTTTATAAATTCATTCATTTATATTAAAATAACAACTTTTATATAGTTTTCGTTTAATAAACCATTTAAAATTGCTTATAGAATAAAAATACACAAAGAAACCATTTTATTTGTTTGTTAATTTAAGATAATATATTTAATAAATTATTTTTCGTTCAAAATGTTTTGCCGCGCTCTAATGGCAGAAACTGAAAGTGTTTCTTATGAACACATCGTAGGAATCACTCTCAGTTTCTGAACGCGATGAAAATGTTGTCGGTCTCTGTCCAAAGAGAGTGAAATGAAGGCGGCGCGTGCGCAGCGCTATTAGTCGCGTGGCGGACGGCAATCGACATTCAGGATGTTTATCGGCCTGCGGCTAGCACAGCGGAAGACGCGTTTACGGTGTAAGCAGAATTTAAAAAAAAAAGGGTTTGTTTCTATATACGGTATGTATGACTATCATAGAATGTAAGGAGGTATTGCGATATTATTATTATTATCTAAATGTGAAACTCACCATTAACAATATAATTAAAACTCTAAACACAGCTGAGAAATTTATGACTTTTATTTATTTAATTTATGACAAACGAGCACACAGTCCACCTGATGGTAAGTGGTTGCTATGATCTATAGACATCTACATCCTCAATAAAGAATCAAAATGCAGATGCGTTGGCACCTGTGAGGACTAAGATGGAATGCCTGGTTTCCAGTAAAAAGGGTCTCCGGTTATCTACACGCACCATACGAAACACAGCAGCCTTAAGCTATTTTACACTGGTCTTCTGTGAGAGCGTGGTCCATCCCCGGTCGAGCCAACCCATTCGTGCTACAACTATACTACTAATATAGCTGCAGCATGGCTCTACCACGTTAAACTCTCCTGCCTCCAGTGATGATACTTGAATTATTTTAAATGAAGTAGATTAAATTCGTAACTGAAGTTATTGGGAAATAAAAAATAAGCTAACCTTAATGTAATTGTGTTTTTCTTTAAATTAAATACAGTAATTAAAAGCGTTCGCATCTTCTGTAATCTCATCCTGGATTAGTTGAAGCAAATCGTGAAATAATTTTACAGATATTCTTAAGTAGTATAATTTTAATAATTGATGTTAAATGATAAATTGAGGGACAAAAAAATTTTATATAATATCGTTGTCCCTCAATTATGCTGCAACTAAATTTGTGTGTCTTTTGTTTATCAGTATGGATCCAAAATGAAAGTTTACGCTTTCGACATTTTTTTTATATTACTATAACAAATTATAGCTTTCCCCTAGGTCCTATTCTATAAACAACAATAAAGACTGATTTATGGAGCTATTGCAGGGCTTGCTCGCACCTTGCGTTACCGTTCGTCATATGAGGGCGTCCGATACTTTAAGGTCTGGTACCAATTAGCATTACCATTACAGACTTAACGCCCACTGCTGAACATAGGCCTCCCCCATAGACTGCCTCATAGGACCGCATAACCATCTGAACGTAGCTTAACAGTAACTATCTACTAATTTTACAACGCGACAAACCCTTAACCTTCTGTACAAAGCCCAAGGTTACCTAACCTACCTTGTATTACGAAGTATACTGTGCTAATTTTTGCAAAGTTCTTCAATTATAAAGTTAAACAAAGCAATTTGAATAAAATATTTTTATTAAAAGAAAATAAACAGAACCCCAACACAGACGCAAACTTAACACAATACAAAAATTTATGTAAAATCGTATAAATAAATAACCACTAAAATTTCACGCCTTTACAAAAATTGTCTTCACTGTAATTTTGCGACGATATCGGTAGTTGTACCATTCCAAGGGCAAAGTTCCACGTGCCGGAGTTTGCGTCGTGTGTGAGCGACTAGCGGCAGCGCCTCCTGTAGCGACGACGGCGGCTGCAGCGGCGCCGGCGACGACAGCGTGAGCGACGGCGACGACTGCGGCGACGACGGCGACGACTGCAGCGACGGCGGCGGCGACTGCAGCAGCTGCGGCGGCGGCGGCGACGACGACATCGGCTGCGACGCTGCAATTTTAAAAATTATAGACACATACAACAATTGTGTTGTCACCACAACTTTGGAAGTTAGAATGAAATACAATCAATAAATATTAAAATTGCATCGACGGCCAATTTTAATCATATTGAAATCTATTGTTTATGTAACACAGCAACACTAATGGGATTTTTTAATGCTTTTTGTTCAATGGTGGAGACATAATAGTAGAACTATTTGTTCAAACCCATTTTTGGACTCAATAATTTTGCTATACGTCAAAACAACAGGTAGAAACAAATCATGAAAAATTGCACATTAAAATAAAATCAGACATTGCTTCTTGGGGCTGATTGCTGTGCACTGATAACCCAGAATTAAGAAAACAATTTAACAATTTCTGTCTGTCAGTCTACCTACCAGTCTGTCTGTCTGTTTGTTCCGACTAATCTCCGAAATAACTAGACCGATTTTCACAAGACTTTCACTGGCAGACAGCTGATGTTATAAGAAGTAACTTAGGCTATTTTATTTGAGAAAAAGAATTAGGATACCGTGCAAAAAAATTAAACCCATGAAATCCAATCGTAATAAAAATGCGGATGTAATCGCCTGTAGCCAATAATATTTCGACTTTTCGACTTGGGGTAAAAAAGAAAAGTAGCACATTATTTTTCAATTAAGTTAGTGCTCTACACACAAAAAAATGCTTCAAAATTGCTGACATACTCAATTTGAATACAGAGAAATTTGCTCTTACTTTAAAGCACTTTTTCGGAAAATTGTTGAAATAAAAATGGAAAAGGTGTAGTGGCGGTGTAAGAATATCCACTAACCCATATCATACCGTGGGTGTCGTAAAAGGCGACAGAAGGAAACAGAAAAGGAAATGACCAGCAACATCTTCGTTTAAGCGTTTTGTTTTTCCAATCTGACGCCTATTGATACGAAGGAATATAAAAAATATTCACCGATATTATTACCTAAGCTTTAAAATACAATAAGTCAAAATATAAGAGTTGATAAAACTACAACTGGTAAAATTAAGAATTTTGTACAACCGACTTCAATATAAAATGAAGAACATCATCAATGTAGTCGAACTCAATTAAATACACATTATTAGGGATAACTCAAAACTACGGGTCAGATCTTAATTTAGATGGGACCACATAAGAAGCACCAGCTTTCAAATAAAGAATCATCAAAGTCGGTTCACCTAGAAAAGTTCTGAGGTACCTAACACACATAAAAAATACAGTCGAATTGAGAACCTCCTCCTCTTTTTGAAGTCGCTTGAAAACAACATACATTGATCATGTGTAATGATCCATATATAGGATACATAGGTACCGTACAAACAAAGCTATAAAAGTGTTTTAAAAAACTCACGCGGCAAGAACGACGACGTGGATATCGTCTGCGACGTCTACATCTACCGGCAGCATCCACCGACTGCTCTTCTGAACAAGAGCGACTACGATTGGCAGCCTTTTCACTGATCACACGCCTGTTTACAAAACAATATATACAATTAAATTTCTGTTATAGCCTAAATATTAATAACTATGTACCATCTAGTCCAAATAGGTGGTAGGATTTGTTGTGTATCTAGGATTCCAGACGTTCCGACGACACGCGCCCGCTACGCGCACGACACGCGCGTTAGCACCCGCGTTTATCTCGCTTTCAAATTTGTTGCATATAATTTGAATCTTATGACAAATCAATAAATCTAAAATTGCATTTATCGACGTTCAACCGCACACGCCTCGCACACGCCACGCGCCCGCCTCGTTCCCGCTTCGCGCTGATCCCGCGCTCACCCCGCACACGCGCTGCACCCGCTTTTTATACAATTTCAGATTTATTGCTTTGTCATAAGACTCAAATTATATGCAACAAATTTCAAAGCGAGTTAAACGCGGGTGCTGTGCGTAGCGGGTGCGTGTCGTCGGAACGAGGTCTAAGGAGGTACCACCTATTTCTGTCGCCAAATAGCAGTGTATTCCGTTCTGAACACAAAATAGAGCCAGTATAATTGCAGGCTATGAGAAGCAGGAAATTCCATTTTATTCCTCAGAGGTGACAACGCCTCCATAGCCTTTGTTTAAGTTGCGCCACAGTAGCCACTTGCTATCAGATGGACGGTAAGTTCGTTTGCTACTTCGTTTAAAAAAAAATTCAATTTCCAAAATAGCCGTGACTTAGCGGCTAAGAAAATCAATCACCCTATTTCATCTCGAGGGTATAAAACGCGACTGTGGAAATTGCCAGAAAAATCGTGCATTGTCGATACGGCCGTGTGTTTCACGTGAATCTCAAAATGGCAGCCCCCCTTACCATTTCGCGTGATGCGTTACAGTCACACCGTATACCACGTATTTAGTAAGTGTTTTATACGTGTTAGAGCCTTGCTGTCGCTATATATTATTGTTGTAGCACGAATGGGTCGACGCGCTCGAGGTAGGGCCACGCACCTCTTACAGAATACCAGCTTCTATGCTTCGTATGGTGAGTGTAGAGAACTGGAGACCCTTTTCATTAAAAACGAGGCATTACATCTTAGTCCTCAGAGGTAACAATGCATCTGCATTTTGATTTTTATTCGACGATTAATTTAATGTACATGTCTATGAGCCACAACGTCCACTTACCATCAGGTGAAAATTGTGTGGCCGTTTGTTACCCATATACTACAAAAAAAGTCAAACCATAGTTAACTTACAGAAGAAACGACTTACGTATCAACTGGACTTTTATCCTTCTGCTCGTTTTCTGATATCTTCTTTTTAACGGAGGTTTTATCGTGCTGTGCGTGGTCCGTGTGTCGGCGTGCGGCCGCTGCCCGTCGGCGCCTGTCATTTAATAATAGCAATTGTACTTTCCAAATGTTTCTTACGGATACGGGCGCCTGCCACTTAATAATAGCAATTGTACTTTCCAGACGGATTATACGGATCAGTAATCTGAAGTGATAATGGGCCAGCCATAAAATATAGCTCAAAGAACCGACAACCGATGGGGAATAAAGGTTCTCGAGTGGCAGCCTCGCGTCGTAGAATGACAATATAGTAAAAGATGCATGAAGTCAATAGATGTGGGTAGCTCAAGACCTTTTTTGTGGCATTTCTTATAGCCCTATGTTCTTCAGCAGTGGTCTCGTCAAGGGCTGTAATGATGATGAAAAAAACATCTGTATGGTGGCGCCAAAACAGAATCTACTCGTATCACTCAATTTCGTCCCGTAGGTGTACGTAAGAGGCAATTAGGGGAAATGCCAGAAATTTAATTTCGCTGTCAATAGATGGCGCTTCAACTATCTCGTTTACATTACCGCTGTACAGGAAAACCTGCAACAACAAAATGAACAACTGCAACACACTAATGGCAGGTGCTTTTCTGGCATTTGATAAAATTCAAGATAGTATGCAACACATTAGGCTAATAAAGAAACTTCTCTTGTCAGTTAACTAGACACCTAGGGCATAGCGAAAGCCTTACGGTAGCTACTAACGTGTATAACTTGTGCAAATCTCAACTAGCGTATGTATATCTTTACCTGTACTGGTACCATTAGGTGTGCTTATTCTAGGTTAAGTCTAGTTTAGGCCTTATCTATCCATGTTCCACTGACATTTTCGAGTGGAGGCTGCTAATTTGAATTCAGCCTGTAATCCTCCGTTCCTTTTTGCTCTTAAAGTATTCCATCGCTAATGTTTCGTATTACTTTGATTGTGTGATGACAAAAATAATCACTAACAAATTTCCACTACCCCATATCACTTACATACCGTGGGTGTCGTAAGAGGCGACAGAGGGAAACAAATCAGGAGATGATCAGCAGCGTCTTCCTATTAACGACTAAGCAACAAGCGTGGCAACTATGGCAAATGTCCCCCCTATCACCTATCCCCCCCAATCTATGGGGGAGGCCTATGTTCAGCAGTGGACTTTAACAGGCTGGAAAGGTAACCTTAAAGGTTTTCCTCGAAAAATTTTGCCATAATAAAATTTTGGGTAGGACGGAGGACTCTGGTTTGAAGAGCCATTCACTAACATTAGGAGATTTAGATTAGACTTAACCTATACATAACTCTTGTTGTAATGTAAATGAATACAATTATTTTTTTTAAATATTAATAAAATTTTTAATATTATTTGAAATGCGTTAAAAATTATTCTATTCGTGAAATATCCTTGATTTAAATAGTGTGTGTGTATACATACATATGTATGTACGCACTACGCACGTAGGATGTTATACTTCTTGAACGTAACAAAACAAAAAAAAACTTTAGACAATTACCCGCTGAAGTTGTCGCGCGCGCATCGTAACAACTTCATGTCGTTTTTAAGTGTCGGTGTACGCACGCATCATAAAAATTCACTCTCATTTTTCCCAAACGCCCCAAAAGAAGTATAACTTCAAAAAGAAAACTAAATTGTAAAATCGTTTGTTACATTATTAACAGTCATTCGAGTGGACTGTTTTTAAATAGATAGTTTTAATAAGTTGCCTCCAAAAATTCTTCCACCCCCTATTCTGCTCACCAAGATCGAGACCTTGTTAGTCCTTTTAACCTAAATGTGCCGCTGTTAAGAAAGTTGTACCATAGGTGAAATCAACAGGCAATAAGGGGATGGACACGAGGATTATCCATGGATGATCCCAAATACAAGTGGTTAAGTTGCACAGTTAATTTACGAAATCGTTCGCATAGTTAGAGCATATACGAGTAACCAAGAGAAGGTATGATATAGGTTTTAGTCGGTAGTAATAAAGGTCGGCGAGAAAAAAAACCTTTTTGAAATTAGGTATATTGTAATCGGATACTCTGGTTTTATTATTCAAAAAATACACCCACACTCTTTACATACATAAATTACACAAGGATAAACATCCGTACCCGCAATATTTATCGTACAAACAATTTTTCCGTTCGGGATTCGAACCTGCGACCGTCTGTTTTCTGTGATGTTGGTGCTGTTAGCCTATACGGCTCTTACAGCTGAAAGGCTGCGAGCTATTGCCTGCGACCTCGTAGCGCTATATTGCTAAGCCAATATGTTAACAAGTGGACAAAAGATTTGAAAATAGTAAGTGTAAGAATTCTTCATTGGTTTGGTCATGTAGAAAGAATGAATGAGTAAATAGTGACAAAGCAAAATGTTGCTTAAGTGATTGGCAGAGAGCAATGAATACCCTAGACGAAAGATTATCGACCAAATTAAAAGCACCCTTAACCGACGAGCATGTATCCCTTACCTACGCACGTAGAATGTAAAGGAGGCGAAAAAGGTTTGTAAGGATCGTGCCAAATTGAGGTCGTAGTCTCTGTCTCACGATTGTCACCTAGAGTGGTACTCTAGGTGACAATCGTGAGGGTTTATGTTATGTTATGTTAAGAAGTTTTAAATATAGTTAATCACTTCTGCTGCAGGTCTACAATAGTCTTGAGGCGGGCGGTGTAGCGCGGCGCAGCGGTGTCGCTCCGCTTGCGCATGAACACCACCAGGTCTTCATTCAACCTCTTGTCATCCTTAGGCTCTTCTTTAGGGCCGCCGCTGCTGCCCGTCATTGCCTACACAAACATAGCATTTTACTGGTGTAAATGGTCATAGGTAACTAAACACGAGTAACCAGTTTACCTGGAGGCTTATTAAGTGGTAACTCTTTTTCTTTCCCAGAAGTCGGTCTATGTAAGTACTACCTTTGCATATACGTGAAGCACAAACTATTGTAACTTTTAAACGACTACTTTAAGAGCATTTGTTTGTAATTTGTTTGTCAAAACTACTTTTCACTTGTTACACTTTTTGAATTTTAAAATTAAAAAGTCAAATTCTTTCAATATTACATTTATATCGTTATGATGTACGCAGATTTAGAGTGGCCCAAGGGCCACCCCAGCCACACATTAACCTACTGTCAAAAAAGGAACATGAACAACAACACAACAGGAACGTCAATGTCACGAAATATCTTCCTCCTGTACATTCAGTTTACAATTATAATTATTTCACTACATTAGTAAGATACTTATGAACCGCTTTCATATAACTATACTACGGTATATAGCTATAACCCTAGGGATATAACTAAATCACGGCTTTAACTATCTTACTGCGACACATAGATAGGTAAACACAATTTTCGTTTGCACACAAATAAATAAATGTTTCATATGCCACCTGAAGCTAGGGCCGAATAAAATGACAAATTGGTAAGCGATGTGGTTTTTAATCATTTTTCTATTTGTTTAGCCCACTACAACTTATTGTTCAACGTCCTAACCTCTTCATCACATGAAGACACGACAAGACTCGTGAGGAAGACACGATGTGTTTCCTCACATATTTCCACGTGTAAAAGATATTATTATTAAAATAGGTGTAATAGTCCACTGGAGTATATCACTTACCGAATATTAAGTCCCGTTCGCCGGCATAAAATTGTAAAAACTTCAAAAATTTTTCGTTAAAACGGTAAAAATCACAAAGAAATACAAGACATAATAAAATTTCTTTGTTTCAGAAGAAATCAATTCTTCTTTCTTTAAATTTATATCGGCTTTTTAAATTCATAAAACATTACAAGCCAGTATCAAAAACTATTATAACCTCCTTACTGTATTTTGTTTTCTTATGAGAAAATATCTATATTAAAAATCAATTGCTGTAAGACTGTCCGTCTCGTAAAAACTCGAAAATGACTGGACCGATATTTGTATGTGTTTGAGTGGCATGATCCCTGGATGACCTAAACGATTCACAATTGGACCCGGTAGGTGGCGCTGTTGTCGAGATCCCGAAATCACCCGTGCGAAGCCGGGGCGGATAGGTAGTTATAAATATTTTTTAAAAGTATAGTATTATTTATTAATTGTGTGCTATTCAGATCTTACCAGGAGTAGCATCACTGCGACCGGTATAATCTGGTGGTAACCCTGTCGTCACGCCACAAGCGAAACATTCCGAAGTCTAATCACGCCATCGAAATTTCCAAACTATTTCAGTATATATATATAATAGCTCCGTACCACCATACGGAGCGCTAGCCGCTCCCCAGGCTGAACAAATTTCCCGACGAGAGACCTCCCCATTTTCTTCCACGGTCTAAGTTAGTTCATTACGTGGTAGAACCATGCTGCAGCTATATTACTGGTATAGGTGTAGCGCGAATTGTGTCTGCGCCCCTAAAGGGGGTCGCTTCTATTCGGCAGAAAGACCATACAGGCTAAAGCCTACAGGTGATGTTTAGTGGGTAGGCACTTCATAGTGAGTCCCACATAACCATGCCTCATTTTCAGTAAAAAGGGTATCAGGTTCTCTACACTCACCATACGAGACACAGCAGCAATGAACTGCTATTTCATTCGTGGTGTTCTGTGTACATTCGTGGTCGAGCCGACCCTTTCATGCTGCAACTATGATATGAGATAGTAGCAGCGTGGTTTTGCCATGTATAAAATAATCATAATTACAAACATTTGTTGGTTGTGGTATTTACGACACCCTGGTATAAATAACCAGTTTTTTTACTAATAAATTATTTCTCATTCAAAAAGTGTGTTACGTAATAACATGATGCTTGAGTTTTTCATTTAAAATACAGTATTAATTTAGTTTTTCAGGAAAACATAAAGTCTGAGACATTTCACTGAAACTCATATAAGACAGAAACAGAAAACGGTCATTTAGTACCATTTAAAAAAATATGGGTTAATGGGATCGCAGTTCGGAAACATTAAGAAAGTAGGTATTAATAATATCCAGCTGTATATCTTAAGAGCTTTATTAGTGTAAGAATTAGAAATGTTTTCCTGTAGCAACAATGTAAGGAAATCCAAAAGTTAAAAATATATCTTCGGAATTAGTCGGCTGTTTCCGCCAGTCCGCGGGCGCCCGCTGTTCGAGATGCGTATGCGCATGCTTGGGCGGGAGAAACTATTTCTCTGTGATGTATTAAGATACCTTTGAATTATTCATTTTAATTTTTTTCCAGTGAAATTATTTCAGAATGTAGTGAAACGTTTGCTTAAAACCGATATTAATATAACTTTTTGAAATTTTCAAACCTGTTGAAGGAATTCACAAACAGTTCAATAATGGTTCCATCGTTATTTCCGTGCATTTCATGTGTCTAGATATTTTGTTTGTGTAACTCTAAATGTCTAATGTTAAATAAAACTGTGTGATAGACGTACCTGAAATTAAAATATTAATTTTTTTTTAATATTAAACTGCAAGCAAAAAAGTGAAATAAAGATAATATGCATTCCATGACCATATGTTTCATCGTCGCAGCGGACTGCGCACGTGCGTTTATTTTTATTTATAAATAGTCCAGACACAATCCTACAGTTACCATCTTCGCGATGACGTCACCGAGAGAAAGCAGTGACGTCATTGACGTCAGCCACATATCCGATGAGAAACCCAGCAAGCTTGAGCGTAAAGACTCTAAAGATCTGGCAGATTTACCGCCAAGTGGTACTTCTTTACACAGAAGGCGAAGAGGTGAAGCGCCGGCATCCTTATCAGTCAAATCGTCACAAACTCCCTCCGAAACTGAGGGATCTTCTCCATGTACCGGTGCTCCTACTTCAGAAGAAAACTGGAGTTTAAACGATGCCGGAACCCTAGACCCTGAAGCTTTATGCGAAAGCATGCTTCAAAGGCTAAAAGACCGCAACGATCCTCTTTCACGACGGGGAAAAGAACTAGCTCAACGTACTAAAGATACGCTTGAGGCTTTGGATCAATTAGAGAAGCTTATAGAACTGCTAGATCAGTTTGTGACATTAAAAGAGCAAAACGCGCGTTTTCTTAAAAGGTTACGTGATGTTAACCATTTAAAAAGGCTTCACGAAGCTCACAAACGAATATACCAAGAGTCCGAAAGGTTAAAAGAAGAAGATAAGGAATTGGAGCTTATCAACGAGGCTTTGGACGCGGAGTTGGAATGCGAATATGGTCAAGCGATTTTCGACTCCATGATGGCTGGTGGCAGAAGTATGAAGAGGAGTGGGTCTAAATGGAAAGGTCATGCTCGATTCGGGAGCGCGTTACTTAGAAAACAGAGATCTAGATCTGCGGGAGGGGAAGAGAGTGACGTGTCTCCAACCACTCCTATTAGGCGGCGATCTGACTTGGTGTTTTCTAAAGAAGTAGAGAAGTCCAAAGTATCTAAATGGACAAGAGTGAAAGCAGCTTTTAGGTAAGTTTACGGCTACAGTAAATATAATCAATATAAATCCCTTTCTCTTCATTTATTGTCTGTATTAATTCGACGGCTCCGTTGCGCAGTGGATTAGCAATGAGTTGTACCGCTGGAGACCGTGGGTTCGAATCTCGCATGTAACAAGTATTTGTGTGGCCTACAAATAATTGTTCCGGGTCTGGATGTTTGTCCTCATGCAATCTATGTTTGTAAACTGCCTCCACAATACAGGAGAAATCCTAGTGTGGGGGTAATGTTTTTAAAAAATTTAAAAAATATTTCGTAGCTAAAAGGTTAACAATAAAGTAGGTAGTATATATAGGTATCAATTACAACTTAACAACCCAACTGTAAAGCGTGGCAATTATGGTAAAATCAATAAAGTAATCTATGGGGAGACATGTTCATCAATAAACTGATATTAATGGATGGATTGATCAAATACAGGAAGTAAAAAAAAATTAAAATATATTCACCATTCATCCATTACAGCCCATAGGTATTCATTTTGCCATATTTGCCACGCTTGGCAAGCTAGTTGACAACTGCATTTTTTTATTCTTTTGGGTTGTTATCAGGAAGACGCTGCTGCCCATCTCCTGTTTCAGTTTCCCTCTGTCGCCTCTTACGACACCCACGGGACGATATGGGCTAGTGGATATTCTTACACCTCCACTACAGCGTGGTATATTTTCACCACACATATAATAAACAGATATAATTAAAAATTAAAAATTTTGTACATCCGAATTCAATATAAATTATTAAGAATAACTCAAAAACTATTGGTCAAACCTTCACCAAATTTATATGGGACCACATGGGAAGCACCAGCTTTCAAATGAAAAAAGAAACATCGAAATCGGTTGACACATAAAAAAACATACAGTCGAATAAAATACCGTCTACTTTTTGAAGTCGGTAGAAAATTCATAATATGCTCGAATATGGTTTCTGCGCCAAGATCCGTTTTACAAGATAACGGTTTTAATGGTAGAAATATAATTTAAAATACGCTACACCTGCTATTATAAAAAAATTGGTTCATTTAATTTGTTCATTCGTTCTGATTCGTAACGTAATATTTTAAAATGTAACAGAAACTTGATAATTTAAACCTATAGAAACACCTAGCGTATGTGTAAGGAGGGTACAAAATATAGATACTCTGATATTAGAGTATGACTATTATATATAATAATAATGTCCACCACACCGAATTCCGGTTACGGCGGCCAGTCTCAGGACTGTAGCAGGATCTGCAGGACACGATTATAGTTTGAGAGTGTATGCGTAAGCACAGGTGCACTCTCTATTCCCTCACTCTCATAGTCCAATGGGACGGTAAACCGACAC